TATTTATTTTATTGGCATGTATCAAAGATGCAGGTGAGAGTACTGTATTCCACCTCTGAGGTTTAATTCTTTAGAATTAAATATTTTCAGGGTTTTTTTTTTTTCACTCCAGTTATGATGACGCCATGTGATCTTTTGTTTTTTCTTGCGGTTTTGATATGATGGCTTTACTCCACAAGCCAACAGTCTTATATATAATAATATACATATATATTAATAATAATAAGGCTGTTTCTGATTCTCCTTTTATGCATTTCAACCTGGTGATTTTTTTTTTTCTTTCTTTTTCTTTCTTTCTTTCTTCTCTTGTATCCATATGTGGTGTTTTTATGAATCTGTATACACGTTTGTTTATAGAGGGTGGATTGCAACAACAAAAAAAAGAAATTTCTTATTATTTTCCTGTTCCACTGTTATCCGTGTACTGGCAACTGTTTTTTTTTTTGTTGTGCAGTACGATGTAATCTTTATGTGTTTACTTTTTTTTTTTCTTTTGTAATCTTTCTGGCTGGCTTTAGCCCAAGGAGGATTAAGAAAAAAAAAAATTCTTTATTGCGAGTGAATACCTCGTGGAAAATAAATAAAGTGAGATTTGATTATCAATGTGTTTTTTTTTATATTGTTAAATTGTATTGTTTTTCTTTCTTTTCCCAATCTCCTTTTTTTTTGTTATTATTAGGAATAGTTTTTTTTTTTTTTCTTTTTGTGTGTGTTTTATATTTATTATTATTATTAATTTGCGGCACTCAAATACCTGAAGTTTCTCTTAGGTGAGACTTTCTCTTCTTGAACTACAGTTTGATCTGGATAAAAAAGAAGAATAAAAAAAAAGAATAAAATATAAGAAAACGTACAACTGTTACTATTCCATTTGATTGAATTACAGCAGCGTAGAGGGCCGGGTGGTGGCTTCTACTACTATTATTGTTCTTATTGCTGCTAGTAATAGTATATTCCTATATATATATATATATATATATATATACGTATATGTCTTCCTCTGCGTGGGTGATTTGTTTTGTTTCCATCCGTTTTGATCTTGATATTGGCCCCGTTATTGATCATGTGGTCCCAAGTGATGCCCTCAGTGATGAGGGAAAACGTATTCTCACACAAACCGCCTTTCCCGACTGCAATCCAGAGAGTGGACATGATCTCATCTTTTTCTTTCACATGAAGGACGTCACCGCCGCAGCGGCGAGAAGTCAAGCCGAGACAGTTGTAGCCCCCTGCAGAAAACAAACCGTCTCTTATATTCATGGAGCTACATACTACCGACAGAAACGAGATCCATCAGTGCCGCGAGGATATGTACAACAGGCATTTGTGTTACTCTCACGATTACCGTATATGGCTGTGCATGAACTTATTTTACGTGTGGTCGTCCCAAGACTCTGTCAATGTTGTGAACTTTCACCTGATATGGATAAGGTACCTGTGTTAAGTGCCCTTTCACCTATTCCAACAACATTCTTTGAAGTGGATTCCTCCTTTAATCCTAGTCAATATTCACAGAAGGAAGTATTAGAAAGAGCCATAGAAGAAATTGAGGGATGGCCTTCACCGCATCCACACGTACAATATAATGTTACTCTTCTTTATCAACCATTAACATTTGTAACTCCTAAAAGATGTTTACAAAAAATAGATGCAGAAATTAGTCCAGTGAATAGACATGCCATGCATTTGGATGATCGTGTGGCATTTTTAGGAAGTAAACATCAATCCGTTGGGGCACGTGATGTTATTCCTCTCTATGCATTATTGAGTGAACTTCTTCGTCATTTAACACAAATATGGGAATTACTTCTTTGTCATGAATCTATTTTTATTTGGAGTAATACACCTTCAATGGCATCTGCGGTAGCAGTGGCTGTCGCTTCTCTGGTTCAACCTCTTGAATATAATGGGATATTACGTTCATACTTTACAGTACAGGATGAGATATTTAATCGATTTTCTCGTATGGGAAAAGGAATTCCTTTCTCAACAACAGAGAGTATTATTGTAGCTGGAACCAATCCATTTTTTTTCCGTGCCTTTGATGGATGGCATAATATACTTACAGTTGTGGATAGACAAGCGCGTAGTACTGGTGGGGCCATCACAGTAGAAGAAAAAGGTAATAATGGAAATGAATGTACCGATGCGAATACAGGGAATGGGATGAATCCAATCACAATAACAACAACAACAACAACAACAACAACATCCTCAACAACATCATCCTCAACAGCAACAACACCTGTAAGAAGAGGAGAAGGTAGTGGTAGTGGTAGTAATAATAATAATAATAATAATCATCATCATCATAGTGTATCCCCTAAAGGTATACCATTAGTGAATGAACACATGACTCCACCAGAGAGTCCCCGTGTGTTTACGTACAGAAACTTTTTTCCAGTCTTAACAGCAGCAAGACAAAATACATCATTTCTTCCTATCATGTCAGGTGGTGGAACTGGAGATAAGTGTTTTAATCATCACAAAGTAGTTAATATGTTTAAGTCTACCTATCCTTTTCTGGTGGATCATAAAGCCCAGACGGCCATTCTTCTTCATCGATTAGAACAAGCATCACGTTTAAATGCAGAAGCCCAGTTAGCTTCCTTAAACGCTCATGTATGGAATGGAATTAGTCATTTAGAAGAATGTACAAATAGTTCAGATGTGACGGATTGTACAGATCGAATAAATACTGAATCCGATAGTGCACATATTTTCTCTCAGTATAGTATTGCCGATGATATTGTTCGAAAGTTTTTCGTAACCCTCACAAAAGAGTTTATTAAACCTGTGAATGCCTGGTTTCAAGCCATGACCTCTCCACTTACTGTCTTTCATCTCTGTGATCCTGCCACTGTATGTGCGTTAACTTCAGATTCTTTTCTAAACTTTTTAAAAGAAAATCGTGAGAGTGTTCCTTCTTTTTTGTCGTGTCATCCATACAAGACGTATAGTGTCATGTATGAACGATTTGCAAAAGGATCGCTTTTTCACTCCGTCGTTTGGCAACTCGTTGAAACGAATATTCGACAAGGATTGGAAGAAATGCAGGTGGATGTTTGGGCAAGGGAGTATCCCTCAGAGGCGGAGCGTATTGATATGTTTATTAATTTATATAAACTTGTTCAACGGGAAGTGACCCACTCTATTGATCCAGATGTTGTGTTTGTTACCATGGCGATATCTGTTTTAGCAGAAATGGTGGCGTACGTGAGTGAGCCCCTGCGGGATCAGTTTATGCTGAAAATACGGGAATTGAAGATATGAAGATGTGTTTTCCAAGATGAGATGATAATAAGAGGAAATTGAAAAGAAAAAAAAAAAAAAAGCAAAAGAAAAGAAAAGAGAGATCTCTCAGGGGGAAAAAAAAGGTGGAGAGAAAGAGAGAAAGAGAGAGAAGGGGTGAGAAGTTGATTAAAAAGGTGAAACTAAAAAAAGGAAAAGAAAGGAAGAAGAAAGGAAGAATTAAATAAAAGAAAAAAAAGAACGGTTTCCAATGAAATATCCACAACGTTGTTAGTTATGCTTTTGAGAATGATGAGATAAGTGTTACAGAGCACTTATATATATATATATATATATATATATATATATATATATATATATATATTATCCCCCCAATACCCATAGTCTTTTTATTAATTATTCCATGTGCTACTGTTTTCAATCTTCTTCGTTTTTTTTTTCTATTGATTCTATATTCCTGATAACAATCAATTTGTGAACTGACATTGTTTTTTTTTTTCTTTTCTGCATTATATATATATATATATATATATATATATATCTTATTTGAGTCTATCTTTTACATCTGTTGGTGTATTTGAGTGTGTATGTGTGAATATTGTTTTTCTATTTTGGGTGTTCTCTTTGAGCATGTATGAATATTTCTGGTAGAGAAAGAAACTGTGCATGTTTAAGAAATGATAATCAGAAGAAAGAAGAAGAATGATAATAAAAAGAAGAAAAACGACCATCCATTCACTCTTTTATTGTTATTCACTGCTCCCCCTGTTCTGTTGACTATATGCCACCACAACACATGGTCATATTTGTGATTCCAAATTTTGCCACAGTCTTTTCGTTTTTTTTTTTCTTTTTCTTTTATGTTTTTGCCCCCAACCAGTGGAAATCTTTTCTTTTCATATGAGTTGTTGTTATCTTATTATTATTGTTTATTCATTCTTCCATTTCTCTTTTTGCCCTATATTATCCCCCTTTATTTTGTTTTCTTTTCATATATATATATATATTTATCCCACTTTCTTCTTCTTCTATTTCTATTGTATTCTCACTACTACACTGTTCTCCGTCACTTTCTCTCCTTTTTTTTTTTTCTCCCACTCTCGTCCTCTCTTCTTTTGCAGTTTTGTGCGACACATTCTCCATTGTTTAACGCGGTGTAGGGGCGTAGGCGTGTCATTCATTGGAGCGACAGTTGCAGTTTCTTTTTTCTCCCCTCATTATTATTATTATTATTATTATTATTATTATTATTATTATTATTTATTGCTGAGGGATCATGCTCCTCACGGATGAACACGCCGCGCTGTTGGCCAAGTACTACGGCACGGTTCAGCTCAGCGGCGAGCAAAAGGATCTTCTCATTGAAAAGTATTGGGAGGCGAACAGAGAAGAGCGAAGTGAGATCGCCCGGGCCTACGCCGTGCTCTTCGCCACCGACGCCACCTTCATGCAGCGGCTGATGGCCTATTACGATACACACATCGCCGCAATAACACACAGAGGAAAAGCCAACGGACGGCAGAGTCTCGCCGCAGCCGCAGCAGAGGAGGGACGAGAAGATACACATACTTCCTCACGATATACAAATGCCGCTGGTGAAGATAATAATAATTATAATAATAATAATAATAATCATAATAATAATAATCAACAACAACCGCAAAGGGCACCACGATCTACTAAATCATCTGGTGGGAGTACATTAACACACGCGCAGTTACTTTTACGCACGGCCATTCAAGATCAATATGTGAAACTCACCGGTGATGGTCCCTTTCCTGTTTCCTTCGGTCTTGTGCAAACAGAAGAGGAACGGCGTGAGGCGGTGGAACTGTATTCTATGCAATTTCAATATCCAGATCCACCAGAACTGCAACGATTGGTGATTCTCCCACAGTCTCTCTCCACACGTACGAGACGAAGAGCGAAGGGAGGATATACGTGGTATCTCCGCTCCAATACCACAAATGAAATGGTGTGTGCAGTTACGATAAAAGCACATCACTACGATACACAACACTTTGTGGAAGTTCCTCTTTTCGCAACGGGTGTAGGATATAAAAAGAATGGTTTTGGTAGATTATTAAATGCTGCTCTTTCTCAATGGTGTGCAGAGGCAGGATTTGAGTTTATGATGATTTCTGCAGATGTGCAGGCAATTCCCTTCTGGTCACATCTTGGATATACTTCCATGTCCAAAAGTGAACTCACCCGTATAGCCTTTTATTATGAACATAATTGTTATAAATTTAAAGGAGCAGAAGCGATGATTAAATATTGCAAGGAATTAACGAAAAGAGAAATAGCGATGGCACTGGAAAGGATGCCAAAAATTGTAGTGGTGGGATCGGTGAGTTTACCAAATCCATAAAGGCAATTTTTCTTTGTTTTTTTTTTTTTTTTTTTTTTGTTCTCATCAGCCAATCAACTCCACCCTGGAATATCAAAGCTTTTGAGAAATAAAAAAAAAAAGGCATTTTGCATAGAGTGTGACAGATAGAGCTAATGGATTGAGTTGTGAGTGAGTGAAAAGTGAAGTGAAGTGAAGAAGCGAGANTTTTTTTTTTTTTTGTGTGTGTGTTTTTTTCTTTGCTATTTTATTTTATTTTATGGAGAAAAAAAAAAAAAGGCATTTTGCATAGAGTGTGACAGATAGAGCTAATGGATTGAGTTGTGAGTGAGTGAAAAGTGAAGTGAAGTGAAGAAGCGAGATAAATATAAACAAAGAAGAAAGTTTCTAAGCTTCTCTGTGTATTCATGAAAGAGATGGAAATAAAGAAAAATATTCGATGTTTTTTTTTTTTTTCTGTTTCTGTTCTTTCTCTTTCTCTTTCTTTCTTTTTATTTATTTCTTGTGATTCTTCTCTCCATTTCTTTTTATTCTGGTATGGAAGTGTGAAAGTGAGAGTAACACACATAGTAAAATCTCTCTCTCTCTCTCTCTGACTAAATCAAACAAAAAACAAAAAAAGAACAAAAGAAGAGTGAGTTTCAGAGAAAAAAGTGAGTGCCTGAAAAACAACATCAAGAACATCGAGAGCAACAACAACAACAACAACAACAACAGTAATAATAACAAGAACAGCAGAACGAGGAATCCCTTTTTATTTTTGTAAAACTAAAGAAAAAACAAAAACAAAAACAAAGAATAAAAAGGAAAAACAAAATACAAAAAAAAGTATTATATCAAGAGTATAAAAACAAAAAAAAAAAAAAGGTGCTGTGGAGACGAAAAAAGGAAAAAATAAAAAAAAAAAAGAGAAAAAAGAAAAAAAGGAAAAAAGGAAAAAAAAAAAAGGCGAATATAAAGAGATGGACGCTATGAATGATGCGACAATCGTCCAACATGTGCTTAGCAACCGGACAAATTACTACCGAATTTTATTTGTCGATCGCAGCGCCACGACAGATCAGATTAAAGTGGCGTATAAAAAGATGGCTCTCAAATGCCACCCGGATAAAAATAAACACTCCGGTGCCAGCGAGGCATTTAAACTAGTCGGAACTGCAAACACTACTCTCTCGGATGCGACCAAACGTCGTATTTACGATGCCCGCGGAGTTGAAGGGGTCCAACGGCATGAAAGCGCAGGCGCCGCTCGACATCATCCGGGCGCGGCCGCACGGCACATGTATCGACAACCAAATGATATTTTTGAGGAATTCTTCGCACATGCGCGTGGAATGAATGGCGGCGGTGGGGCTCGTGTGTATGAGGCGGAGGTGAATGCGAATGTTCTTATGATGGCACCGCTTCTGATCTTTCTTTTTCTTGCGATCCTCTTACAGTCTTCACTCACGGATCCAAGTGGTTATCAGGGATCCCATCCAATGCATCGGGCTAGCAATGTCGCCAGTACATTCAGTCTCACTCCAGAACCAGCACAAGGGCGTGTAGTAGAACGGGTAACTTCACTCCATGGACTTCGTGTGAAATATTATGTACATCGTACTTGGGCTGATTTGGCAGCAAAGGGTCTCGCGGATGTACGTCGTATGGAAACGGAAGTACTGCAGAGACATCGCGACTCTCTAGCCCGTCGATGTGAGGCGGAGTCACTCTCTTACAGGGCACGATCGAAAAAGGGTACACCTCCTGCTTGTACAGATTACGAGGTATTTCGTCGTGCAGTGCGTTAGTAAGTAGGTAATATATATATATATATATATATATATACGTATACGAATACATACATACATTTATTCATACATACATACACACACAGTATAGGACGCGCATACGAGGACAGAAATATAAATGGATAATGTTTTGAAGATGAAAGGGGCCTATTTGGGGGAAGAAAGAAAAAGAAAAAAAAAAAAAAGAAGGAAGAGAGAAGAAGAAAAGCAAACCTTTTTGTTGTCTTGGTTTTTTTCAAGGTTGTTTTCTCTAGCATGTCTTGTGTGCGTCTTTTCTTTCTTTCTCTCTTTGGCTTCTTCTTTTTTTTTTGTTTTCAGTTAATCGGACTGAAATTCTTCCATTTTATTATTGATTGGTTTCTTTTGAATTGAGCTCATCATCTCCCCTTTCGTCGTGTCTCTCGCATATTTGCTGTCACGAAGAATGAAAGAAATAAAAGAGAAAAACAACAACAACAACGAATCATCCTGCTTTTCTTTCGTTTTCTTTTTTTTTCTATTATTTCTTCGGATAGCGTGGGGTAAAAAGAGAATGTAATTTAGTTTTTTTTCCCCTTTATTTGCGTAGGCATATATATATATATATATATATATGTCTTTGTGTGTGTGTGTATATATATATATATGTGTTTATCTCCTTTTAACACTTCTCATTTATTGGAAATACTTTCCATTATATGAGATTGTCTGTAAACGAGAGAGTATGTGTATCTCAGGATGAAGAGTGCTGTTGATAGCTTTTCTCAACGTTTTTCTTTTTTTCTTCTTCTTCTTATTGCCTTCCCTACACCATAAAGTGTACGGGGTATAGCCACTAATCTTGTTTCCGCTGTTGTTACTGTTTCATATTTATCTGTATGTCTCTCTTTCATATCCATTTATTTGATCCTTTTTTTTTTGTTTGTTTCCATTTTTCTGTCTCATTTATATATTTCCTTTACCTGCTATTATTCTTCCCCCTTTTCTCTCTTTCTTATTCTTAGTTTTATTTTCTCTTTTTCTCCTCTTTCTTTAGGCCGTATGGACAACAGTTTATCATTACTTCTGCTGTTGGATCTCCTCCGGCGCATGACTCGATCGGAGAGCATCGCGTCCCCATCGCCGCCGCGGCCCCCGACTGTAGAGGAATTATTCGGCTCCATCCCATCAAGAGAAGAAGAAGAACAACAGCAAGAAGAAGAAGTGGAAGAAAAAGATAGAGAGAGGGAATCTCTGCAGGTCACAGCTCGTCGCTTTGCCCGCCATCGTAAATTTGCAGAGGTTGACATTCAGGCACTCTGCGCGGAAACTAAACGTCTCATTGACGACGCCACAACTCCCACAGGCGCCGCCCGATTCGCACGAATGGCGCCTGAACTCGACACCGCCATTTCACTTCTCGAACCGGTTTGTGTTGCGGATCCACGAGTGGCTCTTTGTGTCTCCGCACTTATTGCCAATCTCGCAGCCAATCCCGAATCACGCGGACAACTTTATTCCGCCGCCGTGTGGGATCTCGCTCTTCTTATTGCACAAACATACATGACGGAGCCCACCGTGTTACTTCGAGCACTAGTGGCCCTCTCGAATTTAGCCTGTGAGCAAAGTCTCCTTGTTACCCGTGAACACTGTCAAGTGTTGAGTCGACTTATTTTTCCTCTTCACACAGAGCCGCGTATTGTGGAGGCGTGGGCCACACTCATATGTAATCTCACCGCCTATCACAGAGAAACATCACAAGTGTTTGTGGAGTTTGGAGTTGTGGAAGTTCTGCAGAGACTGTTGCTGTACTTGGGTGAAGACAGCAGGTGTGCGGTGCGTGGGCTGCAGTGTTTGGTGAATCTTGCGATGGGGTTTACCAGCGGTCAACCACCTGTGTTGCCACTCTCATGATGAAAAAAAGGGAAAGTATTCATTCAAAAAGTGGGAGTGTAGAGGAAAGAAGAAAAAGGATAGTGAGAAGATAAAGTGGGGGGAATATCTGAGTAAGTAGTTGAGTGAAAAGAAAAAAAAAAAAAAATCAAGTTGACGGAGAGTGTGTAGATGAAAAAAAAAAGGTGGGGGTGTGGGGTGAAAGAAGAGTTTCCCTTTTTTAGTTTATTTTATATTATCGTTATTGTTAATGTCTATTTTATTTATTTATTTCTCTATTTTAGTTGCTATGCGATGCTCAGAAAATTATTTTTTTTTTTGTTTTTGTTTTTTGTCTCGCGTATATTTTCTCTCTCTGTTTCTGTTTCTCGAAGAAATACTCTTGATGAAATATATTTATTTACTTATTTATTGATTTATTGATTTTTTTTTTTTTTTTTGGATTTCTTGTTTTTTTTTATTTTTATTTTTATTGAATAGCTTGGTGGGTTCTCCCCCACCTCCCGGGGACCCTACGTATTCTTTTTTATTAGAGAGAATTAGTTGGTCTTTTTTTTTTTTTTATTTTAAAAACTCTCTGCACAATTAAAGAAGATTCATTTCATTTCATTTCATTTAATTACCGTTTTAGTGTAGAGGGCTGTTTGTTTGCGGGCGATGCCCAAACAACCCCAAAGTCCTCAGGAGACCCACTCGGCGCCTCCACTTCCGGAGCCCGCAGGAGTGACGGGTGGGCGCCCAACTTTTTATTATAATTCCTCATCTTGGCAACAAGAGAGGGAAAGAGTACACTGCAGCATGAATAGAAATAGAAATATTATTATATATAATGGAAAAGAAAATGGGGTAATGCAGCGATTACCTTCAAAAGATGAAAAAGAGTCCTTTTCCCAACAACAACAACAACGACAACAACCAGCACCAGCAGAAGAAGAGTTGCAGCGACAGAGAGATCCGCCGCCGAGTTTAGAGATATTTTTAAATAGAGAAAGTGTAATCTCACACTCTCCGGTAAAGAAGAAAACGAGTACAAGAGATGATAGGAGTTTGGTGCAGGATGAAGTAGTGGGTGCCAACTTGCAGGAAAGATCACCCGAAAAGATAATGGAAAGAAGAAGAAGAAAAAGAACAACAACAACAACAACAACAACAACAACAGAAGCTATACCGGCAACACATCTACCAGAATGGGAAGAGGAAGAGGAAGAGGAACAACACACATCCATAGTTTCTTTAACACCAACTGCATATGAGGCTGCTCTTGCAAAGTATGGAAAAAAATTATTAAGTATGACTCAAAAACAACTTCAAGAGAAACAGAAAAATCGCAAGGAATCATTAACTCGTAGAAAAGCTGTGAATGAAAAGTACAGTGAGTGGAGTCGCCCATCCATAGGGAATGGACGACCTGTACAAATTGTACCCACAACACACCGAAAAGGAGAAGTAAATTCGGTTATTCTTAATGGTAATGATAATGCTAGTTGTAGTAATGGTGTTAATGTTGGTATGGGTTTACGTACTAGAGAACCGCAAAAGGATGTTTTTAATTCTACAACTCTACATAATAATCCGCAGAGGAAACTTTTCTTGGATTTAGATGAAAGCACAGCGACAACAAATGGACTGTGTAATAGTAAATCTCATACAATTCCAATGCAGGGACAGAAAGAAAAGAAAAATGAATATCGAAAAGATGGATTGAAAAGAGAGATGAAAAATTCCAATTTAGCGGTTAAAGTATATACGCATATGGATGATGTATATGAGAAAAACTATCGTAGAGGTGGTTATAGAAGTAACAGTGTTGCTCATATTAATAACATCCACGATACCACAAGACCAAAAAAAACTACATCAACTATCATAAAGTTAAGATCTAGGAAAAATCTTTTTTCTTTTGAAGATCCTCCTATAGAAGAATCACACATATCCAGAAGTCATTATATTATACCTCCTAAAGAAGATAACGTTTTAGATGATCTTCATTTTGTTCCCCCACATTGGTTTACACCACCACGACCATTACGACGTCTTTGTACTTCAGAGTCTTATCATTCATCTCCTAATCATGATAGAGATAAATCAAAGCATGAATTACAAAATCCATTTGCAGATAAACAACAATGTTATTATGATCCTTACATTAGTTCCTATCCACACAGTTGTAGTCCACCCGTTATTCCTAGTGGACGTTCAACGACTGGACAACAGGCACTTGTGTTTATAAGACCACAAGAGAAACCAAGACCTTTACCACGACGTTCTGAAACGGCAGTTCGTAGTGATGAGGATCTCTGGAGTGTTCGTGAAGCCTCTTTTCGTAGATGTACGTCAAGTGAAGAGAATCAACGTTATAGTGGAAGAGATAATGAGCATGGGATGGATTTATTTACAACTAGAGATAATCCTATAAGTGGATTAAGTGGAAATACAGGAAGACAAGGTCATGAAAGTGTACATGTTGCTGAGAGAAAACGATGTGTTTTCAGAAATGTTGTACCGCAGTATATTTTAGATGGATTTGCACAACGTTGTTTATTGCGTTTGGCATGGCGTCGCTGGAAAGAGAGACTACGAGAGAAACAGTCTGTGTTGCCGGGCAATGGTTATATACATATATATAGATGATGAATAAACATCTCCATCATTGCTGGTTTGTATTGATGGCTACTATTTACAGTGAAGAATATGAATAAAGAATGCTTTTTTTTTAGACTACTGTGATTTTATCCTATATATATATATATATATATAT